GAGACTCAGGCTCCTCCAGGAGCGGCCTGGGGTGGCCGTGACAACCACCCACCGGATGGCTTAAAACAACGGAAATTCACTTTCTCACATCTGGAGGCCGAGTCTGAAATCAAGGTGATGCAGAGCCATGCTCGCTCTGAGAAGTCACAAAACAGAAATCCATGCATCTCCTGGGGGCGGGGGGGGGGGGGGGGAAGGGGAGGGTCTAATATATTTAGGGAGGAAATCTCTTCTTTCATTACTTCTTGATAAAAGCATCATTGTTTCTTACCTGGTCACAAATCAGTTCCCACTTTTTCTCATTGTCATACTGCCGCAGTAACCTGGCTTTGTCAGGGGGTAGGTTCATAGCATTCTGGAAAAAGACCAAAAAAAAGGAAAGAGATATGTCACATTCCACAACAGACTACGCATGGGTAACTTATAGGCAGATCAAGGAACACTACTGTGGTTCTTTTATGATTTCTTTTCTAGCATCTCATCAAACTGAAACACCTGAAGAAGTCATTTAAACATCAAATCAGTTCAATGGAAGGGGGAGACCCTGAAGTCCTATGCTTGGACATCAAGGTAGTCTGCACTGGAGCAAAGGAAATGCATTATTTCTCATTTACTCAACAGAAAGTGCTCCCATTCTTCTCAACAGAAGGTCATGAATTGTTGAGAACATATTGCCCCAATTTATTTTTAAAGCACTGCAGCCCCCAGACCCGGAACAGAAAACACCAAAAGAAAATGCAATGACCAGAACCACTGACAGATACTATCAACTTTTACTCCCTTTGACAACATCTATGAGTAAAAGAACAGCTTGGTTTTTTAATTAATTAATTAATTTTTATATAAGAGAAAGTTCATTTAGAAAGTAGAAGAAATGCGCTCAGGAAACAGTTTACAGAGGCCAAAGAGGAGTCCTTGGAGCTTAGAAGAAAGGTCAAGGTAAGATGCCTGGGGCGGGGGAGGAGCACCCAGATTTTTTTGTGTTGTTGATTTTGTCATCTCTCTGAGATTAGATGCTAACATTATGCTGGACATATGTTAACATTAGCAACTGCAATTCTCAATTTAGCTATATTAGCTTATGAAGTCAAACTTGCCGTGAGAAATTGGTCATGAGCTAAATGTCTAGACGTCAATACTCATATAGCCTCCCCTGTGTCAATACAGCGCACCTTCTGTAGTGCTAGTACATTCACCTGTTATTAGCCTAATGTCCCAAATAACCAATCCACACATTCTCAAGATACTTGGCTTGGGTTTGAGGTGAGATCCTCAGCTACAGAACATGGCACAGTGCGAGTCCCAGAAGGAATTCACATCTGTTCCCCGGGCCTCCCGAAAGTCCCCACACTCTACACAACTGAGCCAAGTAGTCAATGAATGCCTCACAGCTATTAATTGTCACGTCTACCCCCTTGCGTCAACACTCTACTTATCCCATAATAAACAACATAGCTCCTGGCTGTGTCAATATTTGAGCAAATAGGTCTTGAACCTTTTTTTACAAAATCTTCTTTTCAATTTTTACTTATTGACTTAAGAGAGAGGAGAAGGAAACACCGATGTGTTTTTCCACTTATTTATGCATTCAACTGGTTGACTCCCCTATGTGTCCTGACCGAGGACTGAACCAGCAATCTTGGTGTTCAGGACGACACTCTAACCAACTGAGCTACCCGGCCAGGGCTAGGCCTTAACCTTGTAATGCTTCAGCCCCTGGCTCTCTGGAGGACTTGGCTTATAGAGAAACGATTCCCCTGCCACAGTGCTGTCTCATGTCATTCAGTGAAACACATTTCATAGCGGCAAAGGTCAGTGAGTTATTCTCACTTCATAGAGACAAAGAATTAACCTTGGATAATTTGGTAGATATGACACAATAATTTTCCCTTAAACTCAATCAAGCATCCAGGTTGGAATGCCTAAGTAGGTGGTAAACATACACCACTTACTAATTCGAATCCAGTCCGTTTAAATTTAATAAACTGTCTTCAGAAAATTAAATTTTTAAATTACCCCCAAATTATGACAACATAATTAGAAGAGCTTTGGACTCCAGAGTTTTCGATGGGCCTGCCAAGGCTTCTCCATAGAAATACTAAAATGGGAAAAATATTTTCACATGGCCCAGCTCCACAGAACATCTACTTGAACTGGAATAAAAAATACCTATTTGTATTTATTTGTTATTTTAATATTATAATGTTGAAAAAGAAAAAACTCCTGGAATAAGGCAAAGGTGAATTCCACAAATATCCTTCTGAGGGAGCCCAACATTACTGGCCATTATATAACCAGTCCATCACTGTTTATTTGCACCCCAGAGATGGATTACTTCCTCTTAAACTGATTTTGACCTCATGTGAGTGCCCCTGGGTATGATTTAGCATTAAATAAGTACAGTAAGTTTACGAGGTAAATTAAATGAGTTTTCTCAGAGTCCTTATTAATCTCTTGCGATATAAAGGGAATAAGAAAAAGAATGGCTGAGCTACAGGGTGCCCACCATAGTATAGGTACCTTGCACACAATCTCATGTAATCTTCATAACAAGCCCATGGGATAGATGTAATTTCCCGTATTTTATACACGAGGAAACAGACCTGGGAGAACTGGGTTAACTTGCTCAAGATTAGACAGCTTTACGGGAGCAAAACCAGGACCTAAACTTAGTCTGTGAGTCTCCCAAAGACAAACACTGAAAATGCCACCAAGCTTTTTTTTTCTTTTCTTTTGCAAGGCAAAAGAGCAAATAACTGACTTCCTGTTAGGACTCTACTCGACACTCGACACTCATAGGGAAGCCATGTGCAAACCCTGCTACAGGAATCAGATGCAGGCCCCGTCATTATTGCAAAGAGAAGGCCAAGAGTCTCCTTTCTAGGTCTACTTTTATTTTAATGAAACAGTCTTTAATTCAAAAAATGTTATGAAGCACCACCCCTGTACAGCACTGTGCTACATGGCACAGTGGGAGACTACACAGATGTGGTCCCCCTGGAGCATCATGTTACGGTGAGGAGATACAGGTAAAGCAAACGAATCTTAGACTCGGATGGGTCTTGATCAAGATTATGGGAGGGCAACTGTGGATTGGGCGATGTGGAAGACCTCCAAGAAAAAGTAATAATTAACAGGAGTCCTAAAAATGAGGAGCGAGCCAGGTGAAGCCCGGATGACAGCATTTAGAGCAAAGAAAACAAGGAAAAGACGCTAAGGCAGGAAACAGCTTGGCGCATCAAAGAGCTGAAAGAGAGTCAA